AAAAAAAAAAGCATTGGTAATTATTTTCGGCCCCTCTATGACCTCCTAAATCTCTGTGGAGCCTGAAGCTTGCAGTCTCAAACCCATGCGATGCCCGAAATACTACAAACCTGAAAACCCAAAATCCGAAAAAGCAACCTAGGGTTTAGGGTTTAATTAAGGGTTTAGGGTTCTAAATCCTAGGACATCCGAAATCCTGTAAGACCTAGCTCAACCAGAAATCCTCTAAAACCTAGAGGACCTAAATCCTACAGACCCTAAATCCTATACCCCTGTAATACCAGGAGCATCCTGAAAGGAGGCCTTATAGATCCATTAAAGGAGCCCTTATATAATAGAGCCTTTACCGTACCCAAACCCTTAACCCTTCAATCCTAAACGCTAAGCTGCCCTAAACCCTTTCAGAGCGCTTTTTGTCTGAGACCATTGAACTCCAAACCCTTAACCCTTCAACCAAACCTAAACCCTTGCAGAACGTGTTGATTTAAAAACCCCTAAACCCTAAACCCTTGACCCTTCCTTCAACCCTAAACCCTTTCAGAGTGGTTTTAATTGACAAAACCCTTGAAACCCTAGACCCCTAACCCTTCAACCCTAGGCCCTTTCAGAGCCCTCCCTAAACCCTAAACCCTAAATCCCCTCCTAGGAACCCTTGGCCTGTGCCTCGACGCAGGCGCTTGGGGCCTGCGTGGCGCCCTCGCCGCTCTCTGCAGTCGCGCCTGGATCCAAAACCAGAGGCCCAAGGGTTTTAGAGTCACTTTTGCTTTTAGGGGTTTAGGGTTTAGGGTTTAGGGTTTTCGGATAACTTAAAGTGGAAGCCAGAGAGTTGGAACAGCGTTATCCTCATGCCCTTAAGGTAAAGTATAGGGAATCCCAGACTAATCATGCTAAATCCATGGTTCACTGTATAAGGGTTCTAGCAGGGTTCGACCTAAACCCTAAACCCTCAAGCCGGGCAGGTTAATCAGTATACGAGCCTGAATGATTCGAACAGGGTTGGGTTTAGGGTTCAGGGTTTAGGGTTGTCGTGTATATTCTAATAAAAAAACAAGGAGGAACCTCAGGTGGTAATGGTAATTGTTCATGCTGCCAGATTAACGAAGAAGCCCGTTCTGAAGGCCCGAACGACCGAGCACCCAACAGCCCAAAGCCGCCTCCCAAACTAAACCCTTAACCCTAAACCCTGAACCGTAAACCCTAAACCCTGAACTTCCCTAAACCCTAAACCCTAAACCCTGAACTTCCCTCAACCCTAAACCCTGAACTTCGCTAAACCCTCGAACCCGAAACTTCACTGGGCATATTTCCGAAAATAGGGGACCCTATATAATATAGTACCCTAGATAGCAGGATCCTTACTTTAAGGACCGCCCCCAAAGACGGTGCCCCTTATTTTCGGAAACTCTCATATCTCTGATGCCGTGCCTGCTTCACGCGGCTTCGCCTCACGCAGATCCTCCCTGCTACCACTCCTGCAAGGGGGGGGGGTTAGGGTTTAGGGTTTAGGGTTTGGGGTTTAGGGTTTAGGGTTTGGGGTTTAGGGTTTGGGGTTTAGGGTTTAGGGTTTAGGATGTTTGTTAAATGAGGATCGCTACTGCGACCACCACCGCCGCCGCCCTTGCCGCCACCACCACCACCAACAACAACCGGGACTACGACGACGATGATGAAAGCTGCTGCCGTTGAGTTTCGATGATCGTGTGGGTAATCACTGTATGAGCCGCCTCACAGGGGCATCATCGTCTGTCGGTTTTTGGCTCGCCAATCAGACCTTCAGGGGTTCTTCGGGTTAGGGATTCGGGTTGATGGCTGAAGTGGGACTGCATGTTTACACAAGCATGAACCGCATCCGCCGGGTACATCCGACCAAACCCTACGCAAACATAATATAGAAGCCTACATGATTACCCTTGCGATTCCTTGAGGTTTCCTAATTTTCTAGAACAAAATACCCCCAACACCTATTCTAACCAAGAAGCCTCGGCTCTTGAGAGTAAGTCCGAACAAAACCAACTCCTAAACTAGCAAGATCCGACGTTCTAAACCCTTAACCCTAAACCCTAAACCCTAAACTCGAAACCCTGAACCCTAAACCCTTAACTCGAAATCCTGAACCCTAAACCCTTAACCCTAAACCCTTAACTCGAAACCCTGAACCCTTAACCCTAAACCCTTAACTCGAAACCCTTAAGCCTAAGTAATACACCCAGGGCTACCGGGCGCCGGACCTGCGTCGGGGTCGACTCTTCGGGTGGTTCGTGGGCGATGTCCAATCTGAGGCCCGTTGGCTCTAGGCTTGGGTTTAGAGTTTACTGTTTAGGGGTGTAGGGTTTTAGGGTCTAGGGGTGTAGGGTTATAGGGTTTAGGGTTTAGGGGTGTAGGGTTTTGGGGGTTTAGGGTGTAGGGTTTTAGGTTAGGGTTCAGAGTTTAATGCAGGGGCCTAGATAATTACCAATACTATGTTGGGGGTTCCTTATTACAATCATAGTTTCATGGGCCCCAAAACCCTGTTCTAATTATTGCGGCCCCTACATTAGGTTTAGGTTTGGGTTTAGGGTTTAGGGCTCGAGGGTTGGAGGGTTTTCGGGTTAAAAGGGTTGGAGTTTTAGGATCTCGGGTTCAGAATTCATTTTTCTCGTTTTGGGGCTTGGGGTTGAAGACATATGGGTAGTCCTCTAAATTAGGGTACCTTGTTCGGTCCCCAAAATAGTACTGCACCCGTATAAAACGGACCCTAAAGGGACCCTAATTTAGAGAACTACCCATAATCGAGTTTAGGATTCAGGCTTTCGGTTTCTAGTTTGGAGCTTTAGGGCTTTCGGAGACCAGGGTCCCAGGACTTGTAGATGTAAGCTTGCGGGATGTTGGGTTTAGGGTTTGGGGTTTTGGGGTTCAGGGTTTAGGGTTCTAGGATTTTGGGTTTAGGGTTTAGGGTTTAAGGCTATAGGGTTTTAGAGTTTAGGGTTTTGGGGTTTAGGGCGAGGAAATGCGGACTGAACCTTCATGAGGGCTGCCCTCTGCGCAGGGCTTCTCTGCAGGGTTTAGTAGGGTTCGGTGGGATTTAGAATTGATGGGCCTTAACGCCTTAAAGATTCGAACAGGTTTTGAGCGTACGTTATTATACGACACTTATGATAAGGAAACCCAAGGAACACTATTCGTATGCTTCTATATTATGTGGCTTTGGAGCTTCGAGGTGTAGGCCGGGCACCTTGAAGATACTCCTCCGAACCCTAAACAGTAAATCCTAAACCCAAACAGCCGGATGCCACCTTGATAGGTGGCATGACCAGGCTCGGCACAGAATAGCTCGGGAGCACTGGCCGAGCTTGCAGTTTCGGCCCGGGCTGAACATGCGTTTGCAGCAAAGAACACTCAATGCATGCAAGCGAGGCGCCATGTGGGACGCCCACACTTCCAAAGACGTCTCCACTTGGAGGTTCATGGGTAGTTATAAATGGGGTTATAAGTCCCCTAATATGGGTTATCCCCTATTTATAAAACCAATTATAACTACCCCTGAGCCTCCAAGTAGACTATACTCTGCAGAGTCCATTGTCACGAAGGACCGGGCACCCTAGCCTTTTCCACACAAACACAGCCGCCTCCCCTGCAACTCTGTCAACCCTTGTGGTCACCGGTATCGACACCGAATGTCTCGTTCTGTCACATCTACCAGGACCTCCTTAAGCCCTGGGCTTCTGTAAGAGTTCTACACGGTGGTTCATGGGTTGTAGTGTTTGGGGTATTAAGTAAGGGTTACTCGGAGGCTCATGGGTGGTTATAGGTGGGGTTATAAGTCCCCTAATATGAGGTGTAATTGCAGTTACCCTACTTATATCCCCACTTATAACTACCCATGAACCTCCAAGTAAGGGTTAAGGGCAACTTGAAGGCTTCAGGAGTCTTGTGTTAGATTTGCCCACCGAAACCCCAAACCCAATCCTTAAACCCAAACGGGCCCAAAACCCGGGCCCAGCTGTCCGACGCAGCGGAACCCAACGTGAATCCGCAAGTTTGAATGAAACGGCTCAGCCCTCAAAAACCTACCACGTGAAGTCTTCGGGGCCTACATTTAGGATTTAGGCTTTAGGGGTTTGGGGTTTAGGGGCTTAGGGCTTTAGGGCTTTAGGGTTTGGGGTTTAGGGCTTATTAGGGTTTAGGGGTTCGGGGTTTAGGGCAAAAGAACAAGGAAGCTTAACAAGTCAGGTTTTTAATTAGGTAAACGCTGAACCTTGAGCCTCACGACCGGAGCTTCGCACCGACATCCGTGGACTTTTGGGGTTCCGTTTGGGGTCTAGTGTTTAGGATTTAGGGCTTAGGGCCCCCATCAAAAAACTCCTAGAGCACCTGAATGTTTTAAATCGTAAAAGCCCCAACACCCTATAGGGTTTAGGGTTTAGGGGTTTAGGGGTTTAGGTTGTCTCGGCCGCCCCGAAACCCTGATATCCTATGGGCCAGTGCCTTTCTCATCCAGTGCCGGCAGCGACGACTCCCGCGCATGCCTAAGCGCTTGCAGGGTTTAGGGTTTTTGTTGGGGTTTAGGGCTTAGGGCGTTTTTAGGTGCATGGTTACTGTAGGGTTTACGGTTTGGCATTTCCAAGGCTTCTTTGGATCTAGGATGACCTTAAGACCATAAGAAACGGCACGACTAAGGCTAAGCTTTGGCGCCATGTTCACAGGAGCAAACCATCCAGGACTCGGCCCTGAACTCTAAGAGCCAAGATTAGGGTTTAGGGCTTAGGGTTAGGGCTTAGGGATTAGGGTTTAGGGCCAAGATCACAATTCTTGGCGACCCACGGCACGTCCCAAGCTGCAGCAAGCTTCGAGTCTGTTCGAAGCGCGCACGTGCCTACTGCATGCTTTTCTGCACCAGGTGTGCTGATGGGGCTAGGAGTTTGTATGTATACCCTAAACCCTAAACCGTCGATGAAACAAGCAAAAGCTATCAACTCAATCATGTTTTTATCCGGAAGCCCTGCACGTCTTCCGGCTCTGCCACTACAAACCACAAAGCTCTAAACCTGTAAGAAGCCTCTTGTCTGCCATTGCGCAGAATCCTGCGTAACCCCAACCTGACACAGCGGTCATTGAGCCTCAGGCCGATCATCCTCGTAGTCACTAAAATCATCAATGTCGAAGGCCTTGGGGTGGTAGTAGTAGTCGTAGTAGTA